CATGAAGGACCCCACCCACCCAGCACACACACTTTTTGCCCCACTCCCCTCAGGAAGGAGGTTAAGGAGCATTAAGTGTAGAACCACTAGACTGAGGAACAGCTTCTACCCTGAGGCTGTTCGACTCATGAATCTCTAACTAGAATAATCACTGTGAAAAACCATATCATGTTGCTGCTGATCTGTTTCATGTTGCTGCTGATCTGTTTCAATGTTGATGTGTTCATGCGTGCACATCTGCTCACAGACTCATGTTCATGTTTGTGCTGATGTTCAATGTTTTATGTTATGAGTGCTTAGTGTATATTTAGTTGATGTTTTTCTTAGTTCATATCTTAGATGTTATTACTGTTTTTCTTAGACATTTTATTGTTGGATGTAACTGGGACCCTGTGTACATAATTTCGCTCCACCACATGTACCACATGAGGTGCGAATGACAATAAAGAAACTCTGACTCTGACTGACTGATTTAAGGTGACACGTCTTCCAACAGGCAAACGCCATTTAAGAGGGGGCTTCTCTCCTCCCATCACTACTACAAGAATCATTGTCTGACATGAGTCAAAATGAATGGACACCATCATTTAATCATGCTAATTTAACACGTTACGCATTAACTCTTGTCATGTTTAAACATGAGGTCGAGCTGAGGTCTGAGGTTGAACCTCAGATCCAGGAGGAACATTGTGAGTTCCCTCCTGACCGTGGAACACTGCACCAACTCTTTACCCTCACTAGGGTCCTCGAGAGGTCATGGGAGTTTGCCCATTCAGTCTACATGTGTTTTGTGGACTTATAGAAGGCATTCGACCGTGTTCCTCTGGGTACACTGTGGGGGGTACTCCATGAGGGCTCGTTGCTATGGGTTGTTCTGTCCATATACAAGTGGTGCGAGAGTTTGGTTTGCGATGCCGTCATAAAGTCGGACCACTTCAGGGTGGGAGTTGAACTCCACCAGGGCTGCATGTTGTCACTGATTCTTTTGATAACTTTTATGGACAGAATTTCTCTGTGCAGCCAGGAGGCAGAGGGTTTACGGATCAGTGGCCTCAGGATTCCATCTCTGCTCTTTGCAGATTATGTGGTCCTGTTGGCATCATCGTGCCGTGATCTTCAGTTCTCACTGGAGTGGTTTGCAGAGTGTGAAACAGATGGGATGAGAATCAGCACCTCTAAATCGTTGGTTACGTACTGTAACCCCAGATTCTATGAGTATAGGCGTAACCCTTTAAGAGCTGTCGCTTAGTGGGTTTTATCCCGTCATGCGAAGCATTACACTGAAAAGTTTAGTCCATGCCCACCTGCTGTGTGGGTCCCACCTGGTCTGTATAAGTTACGTTAAGAGCGGGTAATCGGCTCCCAAATAGCTTTTTCTTCAGCCATTTAGGAGCCAGTGAGGCCCGACACTTAAAGGGCTACGCCTATATTCATAGAATCTGGGGTTACAGTACGTAACCAACGTTCTATTTCATATAGGCTTCGCCCTTTAAGAGCTGTCGCTCAGTGGGTTAAGGGCGAAGCGGATGTGGTCCTCGCCTCACTGGGTCCATTCGAACACCGTATGAAGTGGAAGCTTGCCCAAAAACAAACGTCTTGTCACTCAGCTCCCCATGTACGTAATTACGCATTGCGTAATTATGTGCACCATGCACAGACGCATGCTGTGTAATTATGCGTTCTGAATGCATGAATGCCCCAGAAAGTTTCAACGGGGAGGGAAAGATGTTGAAAAGGGGGGCCATGAACCAACTGATTCACAGCTGAACAGTATGTACAGATTAATAATAACAAGTGAACTGATTATTAATCAAATGAACTGATTGGTAACAATAGTCATGAACTGATTAGTGACAATAGAACCAAATAACAGACACAACTTGTGACTGATAACAACATCTCACACTGTAATGCATGCAGTCAGATATGAGCTTAAACGGGGTTCCATGAAAACAATAATATTCATTCTGTTAGAACATTGAGGACACAATGTGTCATGGAACGAACCGTCACATCACGTAAATAGAAACAAATAAATGAGCAGGGTGTTGACCACGCGGCCGCAGTGCAAATGTCCTGCATTGTCATACCATTATGCAAAGCAGTCGAAGATGCGATACCCCTGGTCGACTGTGCCCTGAGGTTGACAGGAGGCTCTAAATCTGATGCTCTGTAAGCTTCAGAAATGGCCTCACACAGCCAGTGTGACAAGCGCTGGGTGGATAACGGGTGGCCTGCAGATGCATCTCTATAATGCACAAACAAATGTTGAGTTTGACGCATTGCAGCTGTGTACACTGTAACACGTCAACGCCCGCACCGGACAGAGAAGATGGAAAAACGCTTCTTCTTCTGATTTGTGAGGGGGAGGGAAAAACCCCTTCAACGATAGCACTCTTGATTTAAAAGAGCTTGTGATGTTTTTAGGCGTAAAAGCTGGATTTGGTCTTAGATCAGCTGAGCTGCCAACAGCCTGAATTCTGAGACATGACAGAGCGACAGAGGGCAGATAAATCACTCACTCTCTTAGCGGATGTTAAAGCCAGCAGCAGAGCTGTTTTGAGACAAGTATTTAATTGGAACCTGATCCAGAGGCTCAAATGGACCTTTGATCAGGGCCCGCAGGGCCAACATTAAATCCCACTGTGGAGAAAGTGGGTGTAAAACAGGACTGCGTCTCTGTACACCTTTTAAAAAACGCTTCATCAGTGGATGATTAAAAGCTGTTCTGTCTCCGAACCCTTCGTGATAGGAAGAGATGGCTACAGCGTACGTTTTAATCATGCTGAACGCCAAATTTCTGTCCATCAGCTGCTGCAGAAAAGACAGCACGTCGCCTAGTGGATATGAGGTGGCCTCTACACCTTTCTCTGTACACCAGCACGGAAAAGCTGTTCACTTTGATGTGTATAGCACTGTGGTAGATACAGCACGTGAATCCTGGATTGTACGCATCCTCCCTCCACGGCAGTTTCCACGGGCGATAGCAGGCGTTGTAGGACTGGGAACCATGGTGCGTTCACGCGCTCGGGAGCCACCAGGAGAGCTGTCAATCCCTCCTCCTGAACTCAGTTCAAAAACCGTAAAATCAGAGGAGGTGGAGGAAATGCGTAAAGAAGCGTTTTGGGCCATGGGCTGTGAGAAAACGCATCCACCCCCAGCGGTGGTTTGTCTCGCGGGCTCAGTGAAAACCATAGTTGACACTGAGCGTTTTCTCGTGTCGCAAACAGGTCCACAGCTGCTTTGCCAAATTTCTGCCACGTCTGAGCCATCAGATCTGGATGGAGAGTCCAGTCCCCGTGATGTGGACCGCCCCTAGACATCACATCTGCCCCTTTGTTCAGAACACCGGGGATGTACACTGCTCTGATGGAGAGCAGATTTTGGTGTGCCCAACACAGTAGTTTTCTCGCAATGTGTAACATTTGGGCTGAGCACACACCCCCCTGCCGGTTTATGTAAGGAGCAGTATCCGTGTTGTCTGTGTGAATCAAAATGTGTACATTCTGTAGCACAGGAGCAAAGTGTTGAATCACGTTCAGAACCGTGCGACACTCCAAAACATTTATGTGAGCTGTTGTGTGATGGGGCCACAGCGCCCCTACAGCTCGAGATAGGCATGCCCCCCCCCCAACCTGACAGTGACACGTCTGTGAAGACTGACACGTGTGACGTGTGTCTGCTGACGGGGACTCCCTCCGACAGAGCCAGGGTGTTTCCCCAGTGTCGGAGGTCTGCTCTCATGGAGGGAGGAACAGTGATCATCCTTCTCTTTTGTTTTACTGGATCCGCACACAGACACGCAAACCACCTCTGGAGGCGACTCATGTGTAGTAAACCCAGCGGGACCACTGTGTGAGCTGACAACATCGTTCCTAATAGTTTCATGACAGAAACAGCGGTTACCACTCTGCCAGGTCTTACGTGGCAGAGCTGGTCTTTTAGAGTGTCAATTCTCGTTTGTGATAAACGAGCCCGCATGGTGGTCGAGTTTAGCTTCACTCCCAGATAAACAATCGTCTGGGCCGGGAGAAACGAGCTTTTCTTCCAATTTATGGCGAAGCCCAGATTTAACAGGTGTGATGTCAACACCTGAGCCTGCATCGCTGCTTCCTGTCTGGAGTGTGACAGCAGCAGCAGGTCGTCCAGGTAAAACAAAACTCTCATCCCTGTTCTGTGTAACAGTTGTAGGGTCGTCTCCACACACTTTGAGAATGTACGAGGCGCGAGGGAATACCCGAACAGCAGCCTGTTGTACTGATACTTCATCCCTTGAAAGGAGAAGTGCAGAAATTTTCTGTGTTTTGGGATGATCGGTATGTGGAAGTAGGCGTCTGTCAGGTAGATGGAAACAAACCAGTCGTTTCTCTGGATGTTGTCCAACAGCTGTCTGGTTGTCAACATGTGAAACGGTCTGTCCATGATCGCCTTGTTGAAAACTGACAGTTCCAAAATCGGTCTCGTTCCTCCGGTCTGTTTGGGAACCAGGAAGTAATGTGAGTAAAACCCTGTGTTTTCCTCCGTCGGGAACCCTGGAGATCACCTCTTTTACCAGAAGTTCTTAGACTTCTGCATTTAGGAATAAGACTTGGTCTGGTGATGACAGGACTGTCTCTAAAATTCCTCCAAACGGAGGGGGTCGGGTTGCAAATTGCAGTGTGTAGCGCCTGCTTAACAACCTGGTCATTCATCTGTCTGGTGAGCATGTTCTTAGCCACTCCGCGTAACGTTCGTGGAGTGGGCACGCGTTTAGGTGATGCGTCATGTTTTGTACGGATGTCATCCAGTCCACCGCCTCGACCGCCGTCATGCGCCCTCCATCAGGTGCCCTCCATCAGGTGCCCTCCATCAGGCGCCCTCCATCAGGCGCCCTCCATCAGGTCTCTGTGCAGTTTTCTGGCAGAGAGGGAGAATGACGGAGCCAGGTGGACCTCTGAATCATTGTCATCCACGCTGCAATTCTGGACAGGCAGACAGCAGAAGAGGCGCACATGTTGAGAATGGCGTCAGATGCCTTGCAGAGGGAGCTCCTAGTCTCCTCAGGCAGATCTGTGGCCTCCAGCCTCTTGGACACGCTGTACGCCAACAGCGCCACATTGTTGTTTGCTGTGGCTGTCTGAAACGCACACTGGTGAGCTCGATTGGAGAGTGTGGTCACCGTCTGGTCGTGTTTCCCTCGAGGGACAGGACGCTGCTCCAACCTGGACAGCTTCGCTCCAAAGGCTTCCGCGAGGCTCGGCTCCAAGGGGGGGGGGGGGGGGGGGTACCGAGGCAAAGGTCCGCTCGGTGAACCCCTCCACTCTGGTGATGGGAGCAAAAGTGGAGACCGGCGCTCTCAATTTACCAGAACCGGCCGCGGCCTAGTTCCAATAGGATGCCACCGCTGGAAACCGAGGCCAGATGGGATCAGGAGGGCGAGCCAGAGTGGAGCCAAACCTTCCCGCTAGATCATCCCATCTGGGTGGGGGGAGGAGAGGAACGGAAAGTCCCTTCATGTCAGCAGCTTCCCGTATAATGTTGGGCAGTTCTGAGAGGAGGGCACTGACGGCAGGGAGCGATGTGGCTGTTGAGGCGGGAAAGCCCGGAAGGGTTGAGCATCCGCTCGGCCCCCCTCGTTCCAACACTACGCTCTCCGGGAGGGAACGAGCATCGGGGCTGCTGCTGACGTCGCCTGTCCCAGAGGAACCATCCGATTCGCTCCGAGAGCCGGCGTTGAAGAAGTCGATCGCATCGTCCAGCGAACAGTCTCCCGCCACGGACAGGCAGTCCTCGACGTTAGCCTTAAACAAGGCTGCTCTCCTCTGCCTTTCCTCCGGAGGAAGGTAATCACAGAGGCAGCAGGAGGAAGTGCGGGCGACGTGGCGGGGACCCAGGCATCCTTCGCAGGTGTCGTGCCGGTCAAAACTGAGCAAGTAACAGGTCTTGCAGGACGGACACAAGCGGATGGTGTTGGAGCTGAACATCTTGTTGAAGGTCAGTGCTATTAGCTTGCTGAAGAAAATTGGGAGCCAATTACCTGCTCTTAATATAACTTATACAGACCGGGTGGGGCCCACACAGCAGGTGGGCATGGACTAAACTTTTCAGTGTAATGCTTCGCATGATGGGATAAAACCGACTAAGCGACAGCTCTTAAACGGCGAAGTCTATAAGAAATAGAACTGAGCCCATGGTCCTCAACTGTAAAAAGGTGGATTGCTTTCTCCAGATCGAGGGTGAGGTTCTGCCTCAAGTGGAGGAGTTCAAATATCTTGGTGTTTTGTTCACGAGTGAGGGAAGAATGGAGCGTGAGCTTGACAGATGGATTGGTGCAGCATCTGCAGTATTGCGGGCTCTGTACCGGTCCATTGTGGTGAAAAGGGAGCTGGGCTGTAAGGCAAAGCTCTCTGTTTACAGGTTGGTCCACGTTCCTACCCTCACCTATGGTCATGAGCTCTGGGTAGTGACCGAGAGAATGCGATCGTGGCTACAGGAGGTTAAAATGAGTTTCCTCTGGAGAGTAGCTGGACTCTCCCTTAGAGATAGGGTGAGAAGTTCAGTTATTCAGTTGAGAGACTCAGAGAAGAACTGCTGCTCCTCCATATCGAGAGAAGCCAGTTGAGGTGTTTCGGGCATATCCGACTGGGAAGAGACACTGGGGAAGACCCAGGACATGCTGGAGAGACTATGTCTCAGTTAGCCTGGGAACACCTTGGAATCCTTCCAGAAGAGCTGGAAGAGGTGGCTGTGGAAAGAGGTCTGGCCTCCTTGCTCAAGCTGCTGCCCCCGCGACCCAACTTCAGAACAAGACGAAGATAATGAATGAATGGATGAATGTTTAAACATTTACCACAACATGAGAATGTGTGTGCTTAAAATCAATTGTTACATCCATTATCTAGTGATGTAATTAGCAAAAACACAAAACAAAGCTGGACTCACAGTAAGTTGTATTTTAGAGCCTTAAATATTTAGTATTTGCAATAAAATATTTTTATTGTTCAAAATATTGCTTCTGTAAAAATTAAATATGAAAATAATAATTAAGAACAAAAAATTGATTCCACTGTTCTTGACATCACTTAGACGGCTACAAAGAAGGGCTGGTTAATAATCCTCTACAACAGAGATCCCCAAATCTGGTCCTTAGGGTCCACCATTATGTGCTTTATCTTCACTCTGCTCTAGCACATCTGATTGAAATGATTTAATTAATTCCACAGCATGTCACCAAATTCTGCAGAAGCTTGTTAATGATCCACTCCGGTGACTCCGGTGAGTCGGAGCAGGAAAAATGTCCTAAACATGCAGGATAGAAGTCCCCAACTGATGCTGAGGTCAGTTAGATGATGATAAGTTGAAGCTGTTGCTGCATAAGGTGGTTCTACAACCTCATTGTATGGAGGAAGCTTTACACAGCACTGTCAATCAAATACATGAAACAATAAAACACAACACAATGTACAATGCAACATTGAACAGATGGGGTTGTGTTGACCTGACTGATGTGAGATTCCTACAGATAGTGTGACCTGCAGGTATTTAAGAAACTGTGGAGGTCATAGTTCAGGAACGAATGAGGTGGGGCTAGACACAGATTTTACTTTTAAGCCTTTCAGACTTTGCAGGGCAGTGCAGTGTTAAGAGGACACAGGAAGAGGAGCCAGACAACAACAACAACAACAACAACATGTTCCATCTTCCTGAGAAGGTTTGTGATTTTTATTTTTGAGCTCTACTACACAATCAGGTACGATGTGTTGGGGTAGTTGCATTATACGAGCTCTTACATGCACTTTTAAAACACTTGTGCAAAGTTGAGGATATCAGCCCCTCTGGATCTCAGCAATACTTTCTTTTATTCTGAGAACTGGCTCTGACTTTCTCTTTGTGTTGACACATTTTAGTTAGTTAGTAGTTGTTCTTGAAAAAACAACTATCTAACGGAGTATGGCACAACTTTCCACAGATACTGAATCTTTGCTCATGTTTTTAGATGTTTTCTTTCATTTTTAAAATTTTTGGCTTCTTTTTTCTTTAAAGGCGAATTCACTTCGTCCTGAACCCTTTGATTTCCATGGAGTCTCAATGACTAAATATTTAGTAGACAACTGGGAAAATGTCCAAAACTTTGAGACGAGACCGGATGATATACTCATTGCAACATACCCCAAAGCAGGTCAGTCTCCAAACACTTCATCCATGACATTTTTTTTTAAAATAATACAAATGTGTGTGTTGAGGTGATGCATTAAATGCATCCTGTTTCTCTCTCTCTCTGTCTGTCTGTCTCTTCTTAGGGACCACATGGGTCTCCTACATCCTGGACCTGCTGTATTTTGGTCAGACGAGTCCAGAGCGACAGAAATCCATCCCCATCTATGACAGAGTTCCTTTTTTGGAGTTCATCGTCCCGAACTTCGTTTCAGGTTAATGATCAAATGCTTCCTTCATTCCTTCTAAAATCTCTTTAACTTACAGTCTACAAAAACATTTACTCATCAACGTCAAATTTGACCATTGGTTCCTTGTTTTCCTGCAAGGCAAAGGTTTTATTTTATTTTAAGGTTTTAATCAAACAGATGTCAAGTTTTAAGCAATTCCCTTTTTCTGAAGTAAATCCTCACAACCATATTCCCACCAAGATTCACGATTATTGGTCTCATCAGGATTTTTTCGTTTTTTTGTTTTGGAATACTGACCATGTCTTTGCAAATATCTGCCAATACCAGTGCTTTTGGTCATGAGAAATCTTAAATATAACTTGGAAGTTCTTGTTTTATAGATTTTGCTATCAGACAAGTTACCAAGAACAACACACAGGAAAATATTAAATTGAATTACTGTCAGAAATGACATGACTGCTGATAGTTAAACCAACAACTGTTTCTCCTTTAAATGATAGAGTTTTGTTAATTAAGGTGTATCTGTTCACACAGGAAAAGACCAGGTAGACAATCTTCCCACCACCCCTCGACTCATCAAAACTCATTTTCCAGTCCAGTTTGTGCCAAAGTCATTTTGGGAAAAGAACTGTCGGGTAAAGTATTTATGCTGTTTAAATAAAATTTAAAAAATATTATTTATCACTCCAAAAAGTTGAAATGTTAGATGTTAAAACAATCAGACAGCTGTATAAGCATGTATGATAGAATTATTTTTAAAGATCAAAATGTATTCATTTTGAAGAGATTATTCAAATATTTAGAAATGGGATTTCTGTGGAGCTGTCTGAATCATTCAGTTCAAATTCAAGAATCTTTTTTTTATCCCCAAGGACAATATTTGTTTCACAGTCAGTAGTCACACAAAACATCCATATTAGATAAGACATTGAAACGTTAAAATAACAGAAATCAATTTTTGTTGAGAAGTCAGATTGGATGAATGAGTTTTTCAGTTTGCTCATCCTACATCTGGGCAGCAGATACCTGCATCCAGATGGAAGCAACCTGAGCTCACCATGGAGTGGGTGATCAGGATCTGCCAGAATCAGCCTGGTCTTGTTCTCTGACCTCACCTTGTGTAGGTCAGTGAGGTTCTGTAGGGATATGCCCTACAGAACATCTTACCTGTTACTTACATCTTACCTGTTTATCTTTTTAACTTGTTTTTAACAACTTCAGTTTGGAGAAAAGCTTAATTTTAATCAGATGAGTTAATGGCTAGTCAGAGCAGGGCCAAGACCAAAGTGAATTGCTGTTTTCCAGGTTTGCATAGCAATTCATGCAAACTCTTGCAAAGCCGATACACTGCCATCGTGTCTTGTGGTTATTCCAGCAGAAATACTTTGATCTATGTAAGTAATAGTGTATGGTGGAACTACTAAGAATATAAAGGCTTATCAAACTTAATTTCAATGAACTACTGTGAATTTTTAGAGACTGTGGTACTTTTAGGATGGCAGCACTTTGGTTTAGTCCACACTCAGACTAGCTGTTAGCTCATCAGTCTAGGCACAAACTCTTACTTTCTCCAAACTGAAGTCATTCATAAAGCTACCTGCAACATGTTGTCTGGTTCTCTTCTGTAGGTTGTCTATGTGGCCCGCAATGCAAAGGACAACATGGTGTCCTATTTCTACTTTTCCTGCATGACACTGTTCCTACCAGAACCTGGAGATTGGAGCAGCTTCTTTCAGAAGTTCTTGGAGGGAAAGGGTATGTAAGAAAAGTTGCAAGAAAGTTGGTCATTGTCACTTCCATGCACATGGCATGACATAATCATCAGAATTCTTAACATTCACAAATTTTGGTTTAAAAGAACACCACCTAGTATATAAACTGTCTTTACAATAAATTTAGGGTGTGCTTTTAGCATTTGGGCCTAGTATTTAAGTAAACAAGTGCTGTGTCAACTCTAATCCTAAAACCTGATGAGTGTAGTGATGTAGAAGGCTAGGTTAGCTTCAGTTAGCTTAGAGCTCCACTACAGTCATATTTTAATAACGGGTTCTCTCTTTTTCGAGCTACTTGACAGATATGTGACAGAGGTACTGTGTTGTCGATGGTTTAATCAGTGACATGAGACGTTAATTTTCTTTGACCCATCAAAATAAATGTGGTCATTTATTAACAGAATCAAAATTTAACATCAAAACATTGTACACCTGATTAGACTGATTTGCTTTTGATTAATAAAACTTGGCACGTTTTACTTAATAAAAACAACAGACATTTCTGAAGATATCTGGATTAATTACTGGCAAGATAGAAGTTTGAAGATGGGAAAGGAAGGAGTTTAAATGGAGAGAAAATGGAAGGATGAGGATGTATGTCTGTAGACCAGAACAACACGCTCCTTTCAAGCGCCGTTCACCCGCGGTACACTTGTAGTGAAGCTCGTGACGACTCTTTACCTTGGCGGAGGATGGGTCAGCTGCAGTCAAGAGGTCCCTGGCACGCTACCTTTCAGCGTCTCCTCAGGGCGGCTGCGACTCGGCAGAAGTCGTGAGATAACCCGTTCCACAGAACAAACTTCCTCAGCAGTTATAGGGCATTCGCCGGGTGGAGCCACAGCGAGGCGTCATGGCTCCTGCAGGAACTCCAGCCGAACTCCATCAGAACCAGAAGAACTAACGGAACTCTGAGAAGACTCAGAGGAACTCAGAACTACTCAGAACTCCTCAGAACTAGCACTAACTGTTCCAGGAAGTGTCGACTTTTAAAGAGTTCTGCTTCTGGTCACTGTTAGTAAGTCCTGATTGGTTGAAGGAACCAACAGGGTTGTGGTTTTAGTGACGTCAAAGGGTTTTTACAAGTCGAGAAAACAGCGGAAATGTTTAGGAACAGACAGAGAAATGTTTTGACGAAGAGAGAAAACTACAGGTGTCAGTTCTCTTGTTTTCTGTCTGAGAGGTTTAAAAACACGACAGCTCGTTCCATTAACTTGTTTTGGACTGTCTCCGACTTTTGACCGACATCACTCCTTCTCATTTCAGACAGAAGATCAAAAATGCATAATTACTTTGTAACATAGACATTTAACTTGATTTCCACTTTGAATGAGGATTAAAAAAATCATTAATACTGTTTCACAGTTGATTTAAAATGAGTGGTTCACTTCAACATTTAAAAATGGTTTGAACTAAACACACTTTTGATTATCAAGATATTGTAAAATAGTAATGATAATATAAAAAAGAGAGTGTTCTTTCAATTGATTAGTTCAAGATACAATCAGAAAGTCTCTGGATGAGCTAATTTGTATTTCTGGATTCAAATCAATGAAATAACAGTTCCTGGCCCATGAAGGTCTTCAGAGGCAGGTTTGATCGGAGGCCTAGTTCACTACATGAGGACTAGGCAAAAACCTTTAACTCTTAAGAAAGGACTTAAAAAAAATTTTTTTTTACATGAATTCATTGATCTTCATGCTGATAAAGCGCTCCTCCTTGTTTTGTTTTCATTCAGTGTCATATGGTTCCTGGCACGACCACGTGAGCGGTTGGTGGCAAAAGAAACTGACCTATCCAAACCTCCATTACATGTTTTATGAAGATTTAAGTGAGGTAAATGGTTTTATGTTTGTGCCTCATGCTCTTCAGAATTTACTTCTAAATGTTTCCTGGTTGGTAAATAATGCAGGGATTTGATCTTTTCAGGACACTGGACGAGAAATAGACAAACTCTGCTCCTTTCTCGGTTTGTCTCCGTCAGCTGAGCTCAAAGACATGGTTGTGAACGGAGTGCAGTTTGATAACATGAAAAATAATCAGATGGCAAATTATTCCACTTTCCCAGCCATGGATTTCAGGATCTCTTCCTTCATGAGAAAAGGTTTGAAAAGAAGTTGTTCCTTTTCAATGTTTTCGCTGTTCTTACTCATGTTTGCTGTGAAAAGTGATGTTTGAGTGCAATCTGTTGGTGTCCATTGTTCAGTTTATTGTTTTTATAAAACTACTGATTTTGTTGATATTTTATAAGTGGATTTAATTGGACGTTTGTAATTGATTTGGATTTTGGATCTTATTTTGTTTCTTCTTCCAGCTATTCCATCTTCAGGGTCTCCACAGCGAGTCCTCCTCCTCCATCTCACCCTGTCCTCTGCATCCTCTGTCCTCACTCGAACTACCTCCATGTCCTCTCTAACAGCATCCATACTTCTCCTCTTTGTCTTTTTCCTGGCAGCTGCATTTCTAACATCCTTTGATACCCACTGTCTCTCCTCTGGATATGTCATGACTTTATCTCCCAGTTGTTCAACCTGTGCTGCACCTCTGATGATCTCATTCCTAGTCTTATCCATCATTGTCACTCCTAAGGAGAACCTCAACATCTTCATTTCTACCACTTCCAGTTCTTTCTTGTGTCTTTATGTCAATGCCACTGTCTCTAAACCATACAACATAGCTGGTCTAATGACTATCTTGTGAACTTTTCCTTTGATTTTTGCTGGATTTAGACTTAATACTACTTTAAAATAGTACCCTGAACTGCCTTTTGTTGCTCGTTGGTGCTGTATCGATAAACTGAATGTGCTCCTGTGTGGAAATGATTTTTAAGGGAGAGCAGAAAAGCTTAACTGGTTGTCTGCATTTCTGCAGGGAAGGTTGGTGATTGGAAAAAGCACTTGACTGTGGCCAATAATGAAGCTTTTGATGACGACTACAAGAAAAAAATGAAGGATCCCACTCTGAAGTTTCGCACTGAAATTTAAGAGTCACAAGTTGAAGCCAGGTCCATGATTGAGAATTTGAATTCGCTAACTGAAAATGTGAAAAGTGCATTATATATATATATATAAATGCTGATTTCACCTGTTAAAAATCTAAATATTTGATCTCTTTTATCATAATCTAAGAATGTACGTGCTTAAAATGAAGACAGTGATGTAATTACTAAAAATGAAACAATGTCCTGAGTGTAAGCTGTTTTGTATTTTTTATTCTATTTAAGATTCAAGAAAAGGACTTCCTCAATCTGAGAAAGCTACCAAACAAAACTGATTCCCACAACAGCATACTCCATAGTGGGAAATAAAACAGTTTGCTGGTGCTAAGATGGCCTCCATGGGCCCTCCCTCTCCGGGGTTCATCCTTTGGATGAATGACGAAACATCTCAGCACAAAGATAAACCATCCAGATGAGCTGACTGAACATTGTTGGATTGTATACCTGGATTATTGAGCATGAACTTTGGTGTTTTGAATCACTTTGGCGTGACTGTCTCAGAGGAATTGACGGGGGGAGAGGGCGGGTCCCAGAGGCCATTTTAGCACCAGCAAACAGGGTTTTTTTTTTCCACTGTGGAGTATGCTGTTTGTGGAAATCAGTTTTGTTTGGTGGCTTCTCAGATTGAGGAAGTCCTTTGGATGAAGGACGAAATGTCTCGGCACAAACAAAATAAACCGTCCAGATGACCTGACTGAACATCGTTGGATTTTATACCTGGATTATTGAGCATGAACTTTGGTTTTTAAAGTGATAACTGTTTTTATATGGTAACATCACAGAACATAGGGAAATTTGATTTAATTTTAATTTAGGCTAAAAAAAATAATTATAATGAAGGTGGACATCTTGAAAAAATGGCGGCTATTGTTTTTCTATGTGGATGCCATGGTTTTTGTAAAATACAAGTTTAGTAGATAATTTTTCCAGATTTCATGCTTGTGCAGCATCACAAGAACAAACCTCATTACAGGCCTCAGCGTGTGAACACTAAAAATTAAATGTATATTACTCAAGTTATTACATAAATTAAGGACAATTGATTGGCTTAATTATTTTCTTGTTGTAACAATGCTTATTGGTCACAAAGCTTATACTGCTGGAAATCCTGTTCATTTTCTCCTAAAAGATGCCAGAAACTTTATTTGTGGGTTGAGCAGCAGAGTTGAATGTGTGAGGTTCATCCTGGACAAAAATTGCCTAATATATTCTGTCAATGCCAAACAGTTTATTCTTGTATTGAATCTTGATTCATATTGTCATTTGAACAATGTATTAATTTGACAGGAGGTATCATGTGGAAGAACCATACACATCCACATCAGCCTGGCATCACTACCTCATGCTGCTCATGAGCTTGTTCATACACTGCTTTGGGTTGTAATCCCATTCTTCAACAGTTCTTTTTTTAAGTCAGCCCATGGGTTTGTGTTTGTCACTCTGGAACAAACATTTCCAAACTGATCCTACAGGTATTTAATGAGGAGGAGGTCTGGACTGCCGGTAAGCCGTTCCTTTCTCTCCACTCCCAAATTCTCGAGAAAGTTTCTGACAAACTCCACTCTGTGAAGAAAAACAATGTCATACTGAAGGAACGAGTTCCGTTCCAGACTAGAAATGTTTTATTTTTGACAAGTGAAATTCATGTTAAACTCTAAAATTCATCCATCCATCCATCCATCCATCCATTCATCCATCCATCCATCCATCCATCCATCCATCCATCCATCCATCCATCCATCCATCCATCCATCCATCCATCCATCCATCCATCCATCCATCCATCCATCCATCCATTATCTTTACCCGTTTATTCCATTTTGGGTCACGGGGGTCACTGGTGCCCATGTCCAGCAATCACTGTGCGAGGGGCGGGGTACACC